AGAATGTATAATACAAATAACAGCAATATTGGAACACAATCACTACAAAATTTTACACGCATAAATTTAGAGTGCCAGCATGTCCTCCTTTTGTTCAATATATTGATACGTAACAAAATTTCAGTAGTTTTGATACCCCAGGCTGAGTCGTATAGCAAAATTATTTGACTGTATCAACCGAAAACTTACCATATTTGCACTTTATCATGTAAATCTATATAGCTGCATAATAATTCAGTAATATTTTATGTCAGGATGTATTGTATAATACAAATGACCGCAATATTGAAACATAATGTGAATACAAAATTTTGTCCGTATCAATCTAGATTGCCAACATGTCCTCTTTTTAATCAAAATATTGTCTCGCAACAAAATTTCAGTAGTTTTGATACCTCAGGCTGACTCCTTTAACAAAATTTTTGACCGCATCAACCAAAACTGACCATATTTGCACTTTATTTCGCAAATCTATATAGCCGCATAGTAAATCAGCAACTATTTTTATGTCAGGATTTAATGTATAATACCAATGACAGCAATATTGGAACACAACAACACCAAATTTTTGTCCGCATAACTTTAGAATGCCAGCATGTCCTCCTGTTGTTCAATATATTGATACGTAACAAAATTTCAGTAGTTTTTATACCCTAGGCTGACTCCTATAACAAAATTATTTGACCGCATCAACCAAAACTGACCATATTTGCACTTTATTTTGTAAATCTATATAGCCGCATAGTGAATCAGCAACTATTTTTATGTCAGGATTTAATGTATAATACAAATGACAGCAATATTGGAACACAACAACTACAAATTTTTGTCCGGATAAATTTAGAGTGCCAGCATGTCCTCCTTTTGTTCAATATATTGATATGTAACACAATTTCAGTAGTTTTGATACCTCAGGCTGACTCCTTTAACAAAATTATTTGACCGCATCAACCAAAACTGTCCATATTTGCACTTTATTTCGTAAATCTATATAGCCGCATAGTAAATCAGCAACTATTCATATGTCAGGATTTAATGTATAATACCAATGACAGCAATATTGGAACACAACAACACCAAATTTTTGTCCGCATAACTTTAGAATGCCAGCATGTCCTCCTTTTGTTCAATATATTGATACGTAACAAAATTTTAGTAGTTTTGATACCCCAGGCTGACTCCTATAACAAAATTATTTGACCGCATCAACCAAAACTGACCATATTTGCACTTTGTTTTTGTAAATCTATATAGCTGCATAGTAAATCAGCAACTATTTTTATGTCAGGATTTAATGTATAATACCAATGACAGCAATATTGGAACACAACAACTACGAATTTTTGTCCGCATAATTTTAGAGTGCCAGCATGTCCTCCTTTTTGTTCAATATATTGATACGTAACAAAATTTCAGTAGTTTTGATGCCCCAGGCTGACTCCTATAACAAAATTATTTTACCGCATCAACCAAAACTGACCATATTTGCACTTTATTTTGTAAATCTATGTAGCAGCATAGTAAATCAGCAACTATTTTTATGTCAGGATTTAATGTATAATACAAATGACAGCATTATATTAAAACACAACAACTACAAATTTTTGTATGCATAAATTTAGAGTGCCAGCATGTCCTCCTTTTGTTCAATATACATGATATATTGATACATAACTAAATTTTAGTAGTTTTGATACCCCAGTCTGACTCGTATAGCAAAAATATTTGACCACGTCAACCTAAACTGACCATATTTGCACTTTATTTTGTAAATCTATATAGCCGCATAGTGAATCAGCAACTATTTTTATGTCAAGAATGAATGTTTTATACAAATGACAGCAATATTGCAACACAATAACTACAAAATTTTGTCCGCGTAAATTTATAGTGACAGCGTGTCCTCCTCTTATTCAATATATTAATATGTAAAAAAATTTCAGTAGTTTGGATACCTCAGACTGACTTGTGTAGCAAAATTATTAAAATGTATCAATCAAAACTGACCATATTTGCACTTTATTTTGTAAATCTATATAGTTGCATAGTAGATCAGCAACTATTTTTATGTCAGGATTTAATGTATAATACCAATGACAGCAATATTGGAACACAACAACTACAAATTTTTGTCCGCATAAATTTAGAGTGCCAGCATGTCTTCCTTTTGTTCAATATATTGATACGTAACAAAATTTCAGTAGTTTTGATACCCCAGGCTGACTCCTATAACAAAATTGTTTGACCGCATCAACCAAAACTGACCATATTTGCACTTTATTCTGTAAATCTATATAGCAGCATAGTAAATCAGCAACAATTTTATGTCAGGATTTAATGTATAATACCAATGACAGCAATATTGGAACACAACAACTACAAATTTTTGTCTGCATAAATTAAGAGTGCCAGCATGTCTTCCTTTTGTTCAATATACATGATATATTGATACATAACTAAATTTCAGTAGTTTTGATACCCCAGTCTGACTCGTATAGCAAAAATATTTGACCACGTCAACCTAAACTGACCATATTTGCACATTATTATGTAAATCTATATAGCTGCATAATAATTCATTAGTTTGGATACCTCAGACTGACTTGTATAGCAAAATTAATAAACCGTATCAATCAAAACTGATCATATTTGCACTTTATTATGTAAATCTATATAGCCAAATAGTAAATCAGCAATATTTTTATGTCAGGATAGAATGTATTATACAAATGATAGCAATATTGGAACACATTGACTACAAAATTTTGTCCGCAGAAATTTAGAGTGCCAGCATGTCCTCCTTTTGTTCAATATACATGATATATTGATATGTAACTAGATTTCAGTAGTTTTGATACCCCATGCTGACATGCTGACTTGTATAGCAAAATTATTAGACCGTATCAACCAAAACTGACCATATTTGCACTTTATTATGTAAATCTTTATAGGCGCATAATAATTCAGTAATATTTTTATGTCAGGATTAAATGTATGATACAAATGACAGTAACATTGAAACACAATGAATACAAAATTTTGTCTGCATAAATTTAGAGTGCCAGCATGTCCTCCTGTTGTTCAATATATTGATATGTAACAAAATTTCAGTTCTTTTGATAACTCAGGCTGACTGGTATAGCAAATCATTTGACCGTATCAACTAAAACTGACCATATTTGCACTTTAGTATGCAAATCTATATGGCTGCATTATATTTAATCCGAAGTTTTTTTTATGTCAGGATGTATTGTATTATAATACAAATGAAAGCAATATTGGAAAACAATGAATGCAATATCTTTTCCGCATCAATTTAGATTATCAGCATTTCATCTCTGTATTTATAATATTAGACCATCACTAAAGTTAGTAGTTCAGGATGGTGTGTATAAACAAAACTATTTGACAGCATCATCCAACACTGACATGTCTGATTTCATTTTTACTTTATAATGAAAGTATAAGAAGTTCTCTTCTGGGAATAGTAAACTGTTAGTACATTATGTCGGTTTATTGATTTTGTTTGTAGATAAACCTCAAGTGGCAACTATTTCATTCATGTGCACAACGAGTTTATTTTTTGGAAGTCCCATATCATCATTTTTAATCGGTAAAGACAAATCTGACGAAATTGACGAGCTGGTTCATAATTATTCAACACCTTATGTATCCGGACACTGTACAATTTTCGTTAGAATATTTTCTCGAAAACAGAATCGTAAATCCAAGGCAAACAAGGTGAATTACGATGAAATATCCATGTAATGCATAAAGTTAAATTTAGGAAGAGACTGTAAAAAATGGGGAACGAAGCAACGTCGACAATGATGTTGATATCCCATGACATAATAATATTGTTCCGATGCGTTGGATAACCTTTTTATCCGCCTTCTAATTACATAAAAACTTTCCTTTCTTTAATGATAGCTGTATGTGAACAAAAGTGTGTAATTTAATTGCAATTGTTTAATGTATATGAGAATATGAAATGAAAAAAGGATTTTTGGTTGATGTGTATAATATCGATAGAGTCTAACGAGTAAAGACATTTGCAATACTGGGAAAAAAGAACAATGCGATTATTGTTTACATATTAAAAGCTCAGGTCTGATATTAAAAGTCTTAAACACGATAATCTGTCATAAGCAGACCTGTTCCCAGGTCTGGTCAATAGCAGACTTGTCCACAGGTCTGGTCAGGAGCAGACCTGTCCACAGGTCTGGTCTGGAGCAGACCTGTCCACAGGTCTGGTCTGGGGCAGACCTGTACTCAGGAATGGTCAAAAGCAGACTTGTCCACATGTCTGGTCTGGAGCAGACCTGTCAATAGGTCTGCAGCAGTCCTAAAAAAGCAGACCGTAGGTCTGGTCTACCAACGACAAAGTTAACTTGCTTGTCTGCTTAAAATTTCCCAAGTTAACTTGAAAAGCACTCAACAAGTCTGCTCAAGTTAACTTTTGTACAGGTTAGGACCGCACCCATCTGTATGCATAAACTTTTGTTTTTGTTGAATAAGAATGCAATTATTTCTTTATCTTAATGGAAATTATTGACCGCCATTGGATTTTTGTACTCTTAGTTTAGGATTAGTTGCTTTTCATAAAATTAAAAGTATATCAGAGAAAATTTCTAAATTGTTTTTTGCTTTGTTTAAAATTATATTTCTTTCTTTTTTTGATTTAAATAAAAAATGCTTCTTTTTATCAGAAATAATGGAACGTCAATTGAAATCAGTCATTATAAATGCCTTTAGATAAGTAATTTTGTATAACATGTGAATAATGTACGGAAAAAAATACTTAAACTTTTCTTTGTGTTGAATATGAATGCTATCATTTCTTTATTTTTATAGAAAATATGAATCGCCATTTGATTTCAGTACTTTTTGTACATCAAGATTGGTTGTTTTTCAAAATTTATGCTGAACTTCAGGGAAAAGATACTAAATTTTTGTTCGTGTTGCTTTTAAATGCAAATATTTCTTTTTTTATCAGAAATAATGGAATGTCAATTGCAGCCTGTATGAAATTTTACACCCGTCATTTAGGCGTAAATGAGACGTCATTTTATGAAAATTACAAGCGTAAAATATATTAGAAGTAATATTGCTTTCCAGGCGTAAATGAGCAGTAATCCGGGCGTCAGTTGGACGGAATATGAGGCGAAATATGCAAATTAGTTACGCCCGTAAAATGCTTCTAGAAATTACGCCTACAAATATTACTCCTGGAAAAGACTTAATATGACGCCTGGAATAAAACTGACGCCAGGAAAAAAAAATACGCCTGGAATAAAAAAAATTACGCCTGGAAAAAAGTTATGCCTTGAATATGAAAGAAAAAAACCTGATTCACAAAAACAGTCCCTTTTTTTTTCAATAATGCGAGCTGATTTTCAAAAATAAATAATGAGATTTGAATGAAGACAAATTAAATTATGATAATATACAAATTGTACAGATCATTGCCAGTTTTTCTTTAACAAAAGGGATTAGTATACATTGGTCGTAAATATAAGATTTTATCATGAATCAAAAATCCAAACATAAGTACATACAAATATAAACAACAAATTTTAATAACAAATGTCATACATTAAAAGAATTATTAAATTTGAGTTTTTCCAACATTTTTGGACATATTTCAGATGAAATGTCTCTTTTTGTCTAAATTATTTATCTCTAAAGTTTTTTGCTGGGTGTTTTAATCTGTTTTCTGGCATAGCTTATCATTTCTGTAATGGTATCGTTAAGTAGTTGTTCTGTTGGTGTAGTATAGCTGTTTTTCTTGCACCAAACAATCACATAATCTGCAAATAATAAATATTATTACTTTGTCTTTGTTTTATTCAAACCCAAGTATCAGTAAAGAATTTCTGAGCAAAAGAGTTATGACATCTTATTCATAAAATTGCTTTTTGGCATTGATTATCAGCTTGATTACATTTAGCTAAGTCCTTGGCAAATCATGCAATTAAAGCATCAAATTGCATTTAAAAATTTAAAGAAAAAAAATCATGTTAACACCTTGTGAGATAAATAAACTGAACATGTATGTGAATGTTTAATGGATTTTGCCACCAAGCTTTTTGTAAATTAAACCAGATCTCTGACACAAAACGCTGTTGTCTTATCTCATTAAAATTGTCAAATACCCATTGCTAAAAAGGATTTTAAAATTCACTATATACAATGAATACACCCCCCAAGGGTGACTGAGGAATAGAAGTATGGTCAGCATTGGTCTTCCTCCGACCGGCAGTAAAACCCGTGCTAAAGTGGGGCGTCCGTTTGGCTGTGCGGGATGTACAAATTTGCAGCCACGTCCGGTCAGAATGGGGACGTTAAATCCGATGCCTCGTGTAAAGAGAGTGCCACGCTCTTTGAACGTTAAGAACCCTTGCAACAACTCTTTGAGGGGTCCGTAGGTGACCTGTTGCAAGGCTAAATTTCTGTCTCTATCCAATATACCCTCATTTCCCGTGGCAGTCTAAATTTCTCCGACCTTAATCCCTTAATCTATTACAGAACCTACCTATTGTATTTATTGTTAACTTGTTCTCGTCCTGAATATGCATGAAATATTTGCCACTTGACGTTAAGCAACCAACAATCAATCAATCAATACAATGAATACATCAACAGTGCAATTTATCATCTTCAGATAATAGACAAAACCAAAAATTTAGAATCTTTTAGTTGAAAGCAATACTAATTATTTCGAGTCATACCTTTCAGTGTATTCACTGTTTCCCTTTTTAATGGCTGTCTGAAGTCACCCTCCTTCTTTGTACCTATACCCTGTCCCCTGGAGTTTGCCATCTCTGGTACAGAAAACATGCTGGATAACAGCTTGTAACACAGTGTGTATCCCACCTTTTGAGACTTTTTGGCTGCGGATATGGCCTTTCTGAGTTTATCAACCAGTATGTCATGGGATTCTAGTTATTTTACCTGTCAAAATAAGAGGTATATTTATGTTTTGTCAACCTTATGACTATAGTAAGATTAGGGAACAGATTAATACATGGCCTGTTCCATAGCGGCCCATACTGATTTTATAACACACCCCATATCAACTAGACCATATGAAGCCACATAGGGCTGATATTGATTTTCAGTCTGGTGTGAATTTATGGCTAGTTTATTTCCGCTCGTTACACTTGAGTAAAAACTGTCATATTCATGCTAAGTATATGATGAAAAGTGATATATGCAGGCTATTCAATAGAAACATCTTAAATATCCTATAAACATATAATTATTCTCATTATAAAAGTAACTTGAGGAGATTATTTTAATTATTAAAACTTAAAAGTAACAAAAGCCTAATGTAAGCATTTCCTAGAAACTTTTATGGCAAACATATACCAAATAAACTCATGAAATCTTCATTTCTGCATAATTTTGAAATTATCAATAAGAGATAGCTCAACAAAAGTGTTTTTCCAATTGAAAGATCTTTCACAGGCAGAAAAGTGAAGAAAAAAGGAACTTTGGTAAATTAAGACATACCATTTTCCCATCTTTGATTACATTTTCAGATAATTTTTCAGATCTCTGTAACACTGTTTCTGATGCAGTTGACTGGTGATTGTCAGAAATATCCATCTGGAAACAGTAAATTAGAATTGTTATTTCTATTGTATATTGTAAGGACTTGAAGAGCGTATACTCTGAGTGAAACATAAAATATACATAATTAATAATGACCATACACATAATAATTTTTGTTTGATATATACCAGCAGCAAATTTAAATACATGTATATAAATACATTTGTACAAGTCGAAATTGAAAACAATTTTCAAACCTATGAGTGCGTTTGATAAAAACCACACACGTATAAAAATTGTGGTTTTTATTCTACGCAATCATAGTTTTGAACAGTGTTATCAATTTGGACTTGTATATATATATTATATATATATTGATTTTCTGTCTTTCATATTTTTCTATGCAAAAATCAGGTTTTTTGTTTTTTTTTCTTGTTTACATGATTATTTTTTAACTTTTATCATGTTGGTCCCTTTTATAGCTTACTATACAGTATGGTTTAACTAAATCCTTAAGTCACTGGCTGATAATGTCTGTCTATAGAGACATTGGCAATAATACCACATCTTCTTTATTTATATATTGTGCATTTAATATTGTAATATGTTATATTAATGGTCAATCTACTGAAAGATTTTAACCCCTTCCTATTTGTTGTCCATGCATATATTTCATTCCATTCATCTAAAACTATCAATATCTAAGCTAAGATGTTTTGCACGTGAAAATGAAGTGAGTGCTTGACCAACACAATTGTACCATTAAATAATCTCAAACATTCTTTGTCCGATTGAAAAATTCAAAGTAAATCTATTTAAAGCATTACCAAAATTTGATATTATGCCACAAGCATCATTACAAAACCATGGGTAAAAAATGTGAGACTTATACTTGAAAAAAAATAATTGTCCACTTAAATTATCTAAGTGCAAAATGTATTCTTAAAAGAGGATTTTAAGTAAAAGACATACCTGTTGCCTGTCACTACTTTTCTTCTGTGTTACAGTTGTTATGTTGTTTTTTCTCCAAATTTATGTTTTAACTGTTTTGGTGGTGTCGAGTGGGGGAGTGCTTGAGTTCAAATACCAGCTAGTTCAAACCAAAGACTTTAAAAGTTGGTATTTGCTGTTTCTCCGCTAAGCACTTGGCATTAAAGTGTAAGAGCAAGGACTGATTTTTTTTAAACATGAAAAAATAAATTGTTTTTATATTAAATTTTAAATTTAAGAATTTTAAATTTATTAAATCATTAAGATTAATTACCTTGGATTACACATGTGTTTGTAACAGTTGCATCAGAAGATGCTACATGTGTTGGAATCTCATCACAAACAGCGTCCATGGCATTTGTGCATACTTTCCATGTTGATGTTATATCAACAGGGACAGGCAGCATGATGTTTGGTTGAACATCCACATTGTTATGACCCACGACGTCACTTGATAATGCTGTTGGTACGTCTGGCACTTGTGTTGGTTCTTTCTCTGCTTCTTGGTTACTGTTGCTGTCATCCACAGAAAACTGATGCAGCAAGTCAGAACCAGCTTCATTCAGTATTAGCTGCCCAACTTGCTGCAGCGTGGCCGTTTCACTTTTTTTTCTTTGTTGTTTTTTCAGAGAATGTTATTTTCTTTTTTGTCTGGTCCTTGTCTTTTTTTTTCTTTTTCTACCTTATCCCTTTTCTTTTTCTTTTGACTTAATTCTTCATCCTGTTTTTCTTTTTCTACCTTATTCTTTTTCTTATTCTTGGGAATAAATTCCTCGTCCTGTTTTTCACTTTGTACTACTTTGTCGGTTTTTGTTCTTTTCCTCTTTCCTTTGACATTGTTACCCGACTCGAAAGTGAAAAGTTCTTCTGGTGGGCTCTGATTGTCTCCTTGAACTGGCAATTTGCCTTTTATAATGGCAGTGTAGGCTTTATTAGCAAATGTGTCCAAATATGCTTTATCTGAATGTAAAATAAGTTAATTTTGTTCACTTAGTGCTACTAATTAGTTTATATTTTGTGTTTTTACAAGTATTTACAATTTGACATGTTAATTGTATAAACACCTGTCTACTGTTAAAAATCCAATATATAATGTCCTTAAGATGTCACTTATTTTGTTGGTTTTTGTGTTGAACGGTTGCTGTCTCATTGAAGTATATTTCACATCTCCATATTTCAATAATAATTGCAAAGTCCCTTACATAACATTTCTCTCCTCAGCTCAACCCCCTACCCATGATTATCAATGCATATTAAAAACCAAAAAAATAAAATAATAAAATGCTTCGCTGAGCGCAGCCTGATACGACCGCAGAGGTCGAACCCTGAACAGTTAGGGCAAATTTGGACACAATATTCAAGCTTGATACTGTCTGAATTTGGATTGTGATCAAATTTTTGACATAATATAGCTTCTGACACGAAATAAATGCACATGGTCAAAGATCTTACAAATCTATTGCGCAATACTGTGCAATTGAAGAATTACGCGAGATCTGACAATTCTGAAACCAACTTTAAAAACTATTAGGATCCCTCTAACTCATAACCGTCAGCGGACAATACATGGTTTCCAACTCGACTTCGGTATTTCCAATAATAAAACATTTATGATATTAAACTTACCCTCGCTAACTTTCACAATGGTTCCGTGGTATAATATTTTGGGGGTTCCATATCTCAGTAACAATTTCATTTCCACTTTATGGTGTTCTTTAAAATCTTCAATCAGGCTTAAATCCTGATCTTCCCTCCAAACAACGCTCAAACTACTATCCTCTTCAAAAAATACACACGCGTACATCTTCAAAATATAACTTTAAATTTCTTCTCAAACGATAAATGCAGCGTCCAAAGCAAAATTTTAATGGCGTGGGATATCAGATAACAAGCGACCTCTTCAGACGTGTGAGGTCCATTGAGGGTACAGCATCTGAGATTATTATTTTTATAATTTTATATGGTGTAAATTATAAATTGCTGACTGATAATTACATGAAAAATTTCAAACATGATAAATTTAAGAAATCGAATACATTTCAAAACAAGATTTTCCATATTTACATAGGGATAAACGTCTTTCAAAATACGAGTATTTCTTAAAATAAACTCTCTGGTACCTTGGTAAAAACAGGCGAAGAAGTCGATGCATCATGCTGTGTCTGACTGTCCTAACAGTATCATTTATGTAATTATTTAAACAAACATGGCATCTAACGAAATCAAGAAAAGAAGAAAAAGGGGGCCTTATAGGAAAGACGATGTTTCAAATTTGTCATTTGAGGAAAATGCTGCAGTGGAAAATCTCGAATTTCGTCTGGAATATGATCAGAACAAAGGTGATGATGCTAATTTAACCCTCAGTCTTGATGCTGATGTTTTTATGGCTCTAGAGACCATGCAGAATAAACACGATAAAGAAGAAAAGGCAGAGGAAGTCCCTGAACTATACTTACATAAACAAAATGACAACGAAAGATTTGAAATGGTGAGATAACTTTCTTTTAACTAAAATGTATTTAATACTTTACAGATTATTTATTACTTTCAGACATTCAAACGATTGAAATTCTATTGTTCAACAGATTTTTTTTTTATATTACTTGCTGTCTCTGTCCACGAGCAAATAATCTTTACCTCAATGTACACGATTTTTTTAAATCATATTTATACCCGGAAATATTTCACCGCTACAGTTCCGAATATTGTATATGACCAGAAGTAAGAAATTGTTCGAAGGTATTTGTCAAAATATTTGTAAACCTGTAAACTTGGCTCGTGAATAGAGTGCATTGAAAGAAAAATAAACCCGTGAATATTTGCAAAAATTCAAGTAAGGAATATTGAACATTGTAATATCTTTCACAGAAATACACTATACATGATAATAGTGAATACAACATACATACACGAGATTCCAATCTCGATTTTATCAAAAGCTTCATAACTACCTGGGTTGACCTGGGACTGGGTTCATTTGGGGAGTGCTCATATCATAAAGCAGATTTTCCATATTTAAAAGTCACCTATAAGAATGTCACTTCTTTTAAACTGTGTCTTACTGTGCATATTGCAGTGTGTTTGTTTTTTCTACATTGGCTAGAGGTACAATGTATAGCCTAGGAGGAGGGTTGCAACTTGAGAACTTAAAAAAAACACGTTTAACCTGTCACATTTTTGCGCCTGTTCCAAGTCAGGAGCCTCTGGCCATTGTTAGTCTTGTATGATTTAATTTAAGTTTCTTTAATCATGTTAATACATTTCAGAGTTAAGTATGACATCAATTATCACTGAACTAGTTCATATTTTTGTTTAGGGGCCAGCTGAAGCATGCATTAGGGTGCAGGATTTTCTTCCTGTATTGTAGACCCATTGGTGGCCTGTGTTGTTTTCTGCTCTTTGGTCGGGTTGTTGTCTCTTTGACATTCCCCATAGCATTTTAACTCTCTTGCTGTCACTAATTTAATATGGTTACATATTTCATGTCCCAGAAAATATGGCAGCTGGCCTTTGGACATCTGTGATGTGACATAGACCAACTATTCATTCAATTTATTATATTTAGCCCCAATGACAAAACATTGGGGTCCCATTTAAGAAAAGTATTACAGACAGTATAATCTTTGGTGTTTTATTTCAAACAGGGAAATTAATGAACATTATTATATATAAGTGCTTGCATAATTTAAGCATCTACATTTTTGTACATTTTTTATACGCCCGTCAAAATTTTGACGGGACGTATTATGGTATACAAATGTCATCTGTCCGTCTGTCTGTCCGGCGTAAACATGTCGCACCGTAACTTCCCAGGTAGCACAACACATTTTCAAAACATTTTTATAAGGTTGTATAAATGTCGTCTCAAAACGTTGTCGAAAAAATATTTTCGTGATGTTATGTAGATATTTTTTCTTGTATTTTAAAAACATTTATTTAAAACATTTTTTGAAAATGTTTTTACAATGATGTAAGAATATTCATGAAAATGTTTTCAATGACATTTTTTAAGATATTTTGTTTGAATGTTTTATAAATGTTCAGAAGATATGTACGTTCTACCTCCGAAAAACATTTTAAAAGCATATGAGTAAAACATTCTTAACAATATTGATGCGATGTTTTTAAAACATTTTCTTAAAATGTTTCATGAAATGTTTTAATAACATGCCTTTTAGATATTTTAACAACATTTCTTCATAATATTTGATGAAAACATTTTTAAAACGTTACCCATTTAATATTGAGAAAATGAATTTATAAAACATTTTGTTACTAATATTTTAACAACATTTTAAAATAATATTATGAATACATTTACCCAAAAAGCATTTTAAAAACGTTACGCATTTAATATTGAGAAAATGAATTTATAAAACATTTTGTTGCTAATATTTTAACAACATTTTAAAAAAATATTATGAATACATTTACCAAAAAACATTTTATAGAAAATGTTTAAAAAAGTTTTGCAAACATTAATTTAGGTTATGGAAGAAAAACTTTATTTCATCAAATGACAGTGATTGAAGCGGTACTTCCCATATATGGCCTTTTACAGTGCACGTATTGCTATTTTCCGGATTTTCTGTTCCAGTACCGACAACAAAAGTTTACACATTTAAAATCTAACTGTTCCTGATGACCAACGAACATGATCCGAAGCAATTTTGGAAACCAGTAACCGGAAGTTTTATTCACCGCCATGCTGTAAACAAAGACAAAGGAAACGTACAAAATAAAGAATAACCATATCATGCGTTAAAACTGGTAAGATGTGACACTAGTTCACATTTATAAAACATTGTTATGCTTCTGGAAATATCTTGGTTAATTTGATTAATATATTCCAAGAACTAATACGAGTGTAAGCAAGCACAATGCAAAAAGGGGGGTGATGATTTAGTCTACCTAGATGTTATGATGTTTATGTAAAGTGAACATTACGAATTATACAAAAAGGGTTAAACTTAAGGGTTATTTATATGATTTTAAAATTCATAAATGTAATCACTTGTAACCAGTGAGCATGTCTGAAAAGTTCTGTGTTACAAGTCAGCCCTTTGACGCTTTGTTGGCTTTAACAGACTGAGCTATTTAAGCAGTACTTCCTTAGCTCAATCGCTGGCTACGTATCTACTAGTCAAGGGAATCTCAAACACGCAATGGTTAGCTATAAAAACACAATATACGCATACCAATCGACTGGCATATATTTCCGCCCCAAAATATCTATAATGATATGCGCCCCTGTGCTATAATATATTGTTTATGTAACTTGTACATTTGTGTTTAACCCTACAGCCCAGCCCAAGGCCAGATAATTATTTATGTGCCGGTCCCAAGACAGAAGTTTGATTTAGTAGTTGTCGGTTCATTTCTGACATATTTGTTTTATAAATTATGCCATTAGTTTCATTGTTTGAATTGTCTTTAATTATACGCCCGTTTACGGGACGTATTATAGTATACCGTTGTCCGTATGTCTGTCGTCAACATGTCGGACATTAACTCATAAATGCTTTAACCAATTTAAATAAAACTTTTTAAATTTTAGATTTTACGTTTTCGAGTTCTGGAGTTTTATTAATTAAAAATAGCGGGGATTTTCTAGTTTTCGGACAATAACTCAAAAACGCTTTCAGCAGTTCTCTTTAAACTTTGGTGAATAGTTTATATCTATTGACTCAAGCTCCCTTTCAATTTTCATGAATTTCTGATTTGACATTGAGAAATGATTGAACTTTTTTCTTCGAAAAATGCGACGGGCCTATCATGCGCTCATGGCGCAGCTGTTTTTTTTTTAATGTTGTGGCCTTTGTAGCTGACTAATACAATGTGACTTTTTCTTACCTGTATTTTATTTATTTTGTTTATTTTAACTTTTGTAGGATCAATTAGCATGATTAGACGTACCAAAATTTAGGAGAGATTTTCAGAAATGCAGATTAAAATTGAGAATGGAAATGGGGATTATATAGAAGAATATAAGCTTAGAAATGATTCAATGATACATGTCTTTTTTTATAAACTGGTGAAATCTACCGTTACACTTTTGTAATAATAAAACGACCCAAACTCTACAGATGTATAAAGTAGCTACAATTGTTGCTTCTGAATCCATTAACACTGATTAGATGACACTTTTCAAAATATTTTTGTGAAAACACTGGATTAAATTTAAGAAAAATAGTTTATTGTGTAATTCAATGAAATTAGCTGAATTTCCACTCGTTTAATCACTAAATGTCAATGCTAAACAGAAGGACTAATTTGTTTACACTTTATTTTACAGAAGCCAGCCGATGTCAAAAGAAATAAAAAGAATGGAACAAAAGAAACTTTGAAAAAGAACAGTGATACGAAAATATTGAATAAATGTTTTGCATTTATAATTGTAGTTCTATCTTGTATAGTGTTGCCTAAGGCAGCAAAGAAAACAGTCAAAAAACTTCAGGAAAAATCAGAAAAAAACCATGACAAATTATTACGTGTACAATGTATTACAAAAAATAGGGTTATGTCAATGATACATCAATCCGACAAAAGTAAACAAAATATATGTAGATTCAACTGCAATCAACAAACAATTGTAAAAGGAGATGTGGGGTAAAGATCAGTATGACAGCAGTTGTTTTTCAGATGCAGATCCAGGATTATGAAAAGAGGGGCCACAGGCTCTAAACTAGACAAAGTTTGAGTGAAATAGTAGGAATTAGATTAACCATAATTGTAGCTCCATAAGGGGACCCAGGACCCCCCCCCCCCCCTCCCCCGTCCCCAGATCAAACATGATTAAAATGTTTTTTGAATATTTTATAAAACATTTGAATGATGATGTTAGAAAACATTGTTCTAATGATATTCATATAACATTTAAATGATGTTTTGAGAATATGAACATTATTAAAACATTTTGTAAAATGTTTTTTTAACATTTTCACAACATTTTATCCTGCAAAAACATTTTTTTTTATGTTTTAAAAATGTTTCAAGGATATTTTATAAACAAGCATATTTAACATGTTTAAAACATTTACAAAACATTTTACAAACATTGTCAACAAAGTTAAGAAACGTTTTAATGATGTTTTAAAAATATCCTGGACATGTTATTGAAAATGTTTTAAAAATATTTTTAGCGCCATACATTGTAACGTGATTTTGATATTTTCACAACATTTTTCAAAATGTTTTTAAAACATAAACACAATGTTTTTGTGTTAACTGGGTTGAGAACGACTTATCCAAATTTCATGAAACTTAAAATAGTTGTTTCTTATGATAGTCAAACGATCTGTATACATTTTGGTGAAAATAAGATTAAACTTTTTGAGTTACGGGACTTAGTAACTAAAACAGGTGTGTGTTTTTTTTTTCACATGTCGCGCCGTATCTCAAAAACAGTTTATGATTATTGCTTAAAACTTTACACACTTCTAAGTTATATTAATCTTAAGATCTGTATACTTTTTGGTGATGATTCAAAATTTTATTTTAGAGATATTGAGTATTTTGTTAAACAAGGTGGAGGGGGTTTTCACTTGTCGCGCCGTATCTCAAAAACGATTTATGATTATTGCTTAAAATTTTACACACCTCTCAGTTATATTAATCTAAAGATCTGTATACTTTTTGGTTTTGATTCAAAATTTTATTTTAGAGATATTGAGTTTTTTGTAAAAAAAGGGGGCTTTAGCATGTCAGAAACTATTTATGATTATTGCATAAAAATTCACACACAAGACGACGGGCGTATCATGCGCTCATGGCGCAGCTGTTTTTTGTATATGGGGACATATGTGACAATTTGGTACATACAGTGCTGACACATGTGTTCTTCTGCCAGCAAAAAGGTTGCTTATATTATTAGTTACATGGTGTGTTAGTGACCTAATACAATATATATGGGGTCAGTAATTTCCATATGGGGTGAGAGTGAAGCTCGAATCCTCATATGGAATTTACTGACCCCACATATATCGTATTATGTCACTACCACACCGTGTAACGAATTTATCTTACCGACGATCTTCACATGTCGTATTTTGACTAGCGGCCTTTCAAAGTGCAAGTCTTCAATACTTAGTAGATCCTACTTTCATTTGTCTATACAAAAAAACAAATGCCAACAATAACAACTTTTTAGCTTTAAATTTGTTTTATGAATTTATTTCAATCGTTCATTACATGTATCTTTTTCTTTGTCTGTTAAATCCTTTCAGATTTCTTTTTTTTTTTTTTTTGAAAGGGAAGTAACTCCGTTATGCCAACAATAACAACTTGTTAGCTTTAATTATGTTTTATGAACTTTTTTCAACCTTTCATCACCAATTTCTTCGTTTGTTGAATCAGATTTTTCCTCAACACCGTGTTGTTTTCATGTTATAAAGGGTTGTTGCATTTTTATTGTTTTGAAAGGGAAGTAACTTCTTACTAACCTCATATGGTTGCTAACCCTATATGGCAACTAACCATGTATTTTTTAGGCCACCCTATACCAAATATACATAGTCACCACGTGTAGTCCTTTAACCAATCATATCTCTATAAATCTATAGGAGGTAAGATGAATATATATATGAATATTTTGTAGAAACGGAATGTCAATTTTTGTTCAAATAATGTGGGGTTTTTTTCTTGGCCTTTGACAGTGCCAGCTGGTTACGAGTAAGTTTGTATATATATATCTATGTACAAAAATGTATGTTGGTGTTGCTCATTGTTGAAGGTCTACCTGTAACGTAACGTCCAGGTAATTTAGTCTCATGTGGATAATTGTCTCTTTGACACTCAAACCATCGTACCACAGATTTTTTCATCCCCCCCTTTTTTTGTATATGGGGAATTAAGTTTTACCCTTGTCGGTCCATAGGTCCCGAAAATGGTTTTTGTTCTTATGTAACAAATATCCACTTTATTTTCTGTAGTACTAAAATACTGTTTTTTTTTTGTTTGCAGGTCTGTAGTGACTCTGATGATGTTATCCAGGACTCTCATACAATTGAATTCCAAGAAGAGGATGTACTCATATCAGAGAGGGCATCTTGAAGAGGATATGTCTGACCTGACATTAGATCAATCAAACAATGATTTTGATAATTTTATGAGCATTAATGATGAAGAAGAAATGCATCTTTATAGTGATGATTCTGACATTGAAATAGACAATACTATAGGTAATAATTCTTCTGAATATGGAAATATAGAGAATTCAGATACTTTTGATGAAGATATGGAGCCTTTGTATCCTGGATCATCTGTTACAGTTGGTGCATTTATGCTGCTGATAACTTTTTTTTGCATGAAGCATAATCTTGTTGGAGATGGCATTTTACAGCTTCTAAATATAATAGCTTTCATTCTTCCCCCTGGACATCAACTTTGTACAAGTCTTCATGAATACAAGAAGTATTTTCAGAATCTAAAAAATCCTATACGTAAACACTTTTATTGCAATCATTGTCTTGGAATGATCGTAGACGAAAATGTGCTGGTTTGTCCTTATCCAGGATGCAACAAAACATTAACTAAAGATATGAAGGTTTATTTTATTGAGATACCAGTTGAATCACAAGCGCAAAATCTTTTTGCACAACAAGGATTCTATGACAAATTACAAAATCGATTTACTAGTTCGAAGACAACTGATGGTGCCACTTACAAAGAAATATCAGATGGATATTTATATCAATTATACAGTGAAAATGATGGACCTTTAAGTCAACCAGAAAATATTTCCTTTACCTTTAACACTGATGGTGCTCCAGTCTTTAAAAGTAGTAAAGTTTCTGTTTGGCCATTATTTTTGGTGATCAGTGAACTTCCATACAAACTACGGATGATGAAAGAAAATATGATTTTAGCTGGTCTTTGGTTTGGTAACCAAAAACCATCCATGAGCACTTTCCTTTCACCTTTCTTCGATTCATTCAAGAAGTTAAACAATGGTATTAATTGTTTCTCTCCAGAGCGAGGAAACTTTTAAAGCAAAGCTTATTTACTATGTGGTACTGCTGACCAACCTGCAAGGTGCATGTTATGTAATGGTGTACAATACAATGGAAGTTATTCATGTTGGAAATGTATGCAGAAAGGTGAGACAGCAAAAAGTGGGAAAGGACATGCACATGTTTTTCCATTTATTCAAGACAATCCCAAAGGTCCACAAAGATGCAGAGAAAATGTCATTGAAGATTTAAGAAATGCTTTACAAAATATGGAAAACAAATCAAAAGTCATTGCAGTGAATATAATTAAAGGTCCATCGTGGCTAACATTTTCCCATTGTTTAATATAATAGATGGAATAGCTATAGACTATATGCACGGTGTATTATTAGGTGTAATGAAATTAATGCTAAAATTATGGTTTTCCCCACAACTCAAGAACAAGTTTTTCAGTTTTACATTGCTGATGTTGATTAAAAACTGCAAAGTATTCGCCCAACATTGATATAACTCGTTTACCTAGGTCCATTGAAAATGATTTGAAATACTGGAAAGCTAATGAATATAGATCATTTTTATTGTATTATAGCCTTCCTATTTTACATGGTACACTAGACAATACTAGATTTAATCATTTTGCTCTTCTCATAAATGCTATACATATTCTTTTTAAGAATGGCTCAACTAAAAATGAAATTATGAGAGCTGAATCATTCTTGATGGAATTTAATTCTTATTTTGAACAATTGTATGATATATGTTATATGACTTTAAATGTTCATCAGCTTGTTCATCTGGCAGATAGTGTTAAATGTCTAGGACCATTATATACTCATAGTTGTTTTTCCTTTGAAGATAAAAATGGTTACTTGTTAAAAATGATTCGTGGAACTCAAAATATTGACAATCAAATAATTACTGGTGTATCTATTGTGCAAAAAATTCCTGAATTAAAGCTAAAATTCATTGTCGAGGGACTGAATTGGACAAACTGTACAAATCAATTGAATCCCCAAATATCTTAAAAAGAGTGGAAATGATTTATATTTTGGGAAGTATTAAAATGAGAACACTAACAAAACATGCATTTGATGCATTATGTAAATTTTTGGATTTTGCACCGCCAAATGATTATTTTGCAACCTTCAAACGAATTGAAATGAATGATAACTTAGTTTATGGTATGGAATATGCAAGAATGACTAAAAGAGATATTTCAGCCATCATGTTTAAACACAATGAAAAAGTATGTTTTGGAAGAGTGTGCTTTTTTGTTAGACTAGATTGTATAGAGCAGAGAGCAAAAAAAGTTGTAGCATATACTGAATGTTTAAATGTGCAAATTTTTCTTAACATAGTGGTATTTTGTCCGTCAAGAAGACTGAAATTACACAATGTGTACCTATTATGAACATTATTGAGAGTTGTATGTATATTTGTCGCTTTCCAAATAGGCTAGAGTCTGACTGATAATAAGTGTTCTTCATTTATTTTATAATATTATGTAATTAAAAATTGTTTGCAAGAGAAAAGAAATAGTTTATGCAAGCAACCAAACCTATTTTCGAGTTTTGTCTTATTTATACAAAGGAATTTAGTAAAGAAATACTTTAAATTCAGACGAGCAGGCGAGGGAGAATTAAATAAATTTTAAGACATTTTCTATCATGTATGGTTTGACGCCTGTATAATTTTTCATAAAAATACCTAAGTACAAAATTTCGCCTCAGACTTAGTTGAATTAAGAATTTGCAACTCAATATCTAAATTTTACGCCTCATATTTCTATGAAAAAAGACGTCAGTGAAAATATTTCTGGTCAATATCAAGGCGTAATTTTATTCAAATAAAGATTCTGCCATTTGACGCCCTGAAATAAAATTTTACGCCTAAAATAATTTTTTTGTTCCAGGCGTCATTTTATAAAAATTCCAATTCCTGGCCATCTACAGGCGTCGTTTTAAGTTTACAGGCGGAAACCAGGTGGAATACGCCTGCTTGACGGGTGTATTACGCCTGGTTTGTTCATACGGGTATCAGTCATTATAAATGCCTTTCATTAAGTAATTTTGTATAAGATGTTAATAATTGAAGGATAAATACGCATAAACTTTTGTTTTTGTTGACTAAGAATGCAATCATTTCTTTATTTTAATGGAAATTATTGACCGCCATTGGATTTTGTACTTTTTGTAGTTCAGGATTGGTTGTTTTTCATAAAATTAAAAGAATATCAGAGAAAATATAATAAAATGTTGTTCGCATTGTTTAAAATTACCAATTTTTCTTTTTATGATAACAAAAAATGCAATGTTATTTGTAACTAAAGTTATTTCAATGGCCTCGAGATAAGTTTTTTTTATAAGAATTTTAATAATGTAAGGAGAACAATACTTAAACTTTTGTTTGTGTTGAATACATATACAATAATTTCTTTATTATGACAGAAATCATGAACCACCATTTGTTTTCGGTACTTTTTGTACATCAGGATTTGTTGTTTTTCATAAATTATGCTGAATTTTTGGAAAAAGATACTAAATTTTTGTTCGCATTGCCTAAAAATGCAAATATTTCTTCTTTTATATCAGAAATAATGCAACATCAATTGCAATCAATCATTATAAATGCCTTTAGATAAGTAATTTTGTATAAAATGTGAATAATTGAAGGATAAATATGCATAAACTTTTGTTTTTGTTGAATAAGAATGCTTTCATTTCTTTATTTTAATGGAAATTATTGACCGCCATTGGATTTTTGTACTTTTTGTACATCAGGATTTGTTGTTTTTCATAAATTATGCTGAATTTCAGGGAAAAGATACTAAATTTTTGTTCGCGTTGCTGAAAAATGCAAATATTTCATTTTTTATATCAGATGTAATGCAATGTCGATTGCAATCAGTCATTAGAAATGCCTTTAGATAAGTAATTTTGTATAAGATGTGAATAATTGAAGGATAAATATGCATTAACTTTTGTATTTGTTGAATAAGAATGCTATCATTTCTTTATTGTTATTGAAATTATTGACCGTCATTGGATTTTTGTACTTTTTGTAGTTCAGAATTGGTTGTTTTTCATAAAATTAAAAGAATATCAGAGAAAATATACTAAAAAGTTGTTTGCATTGTTTAAAATTACTATTTTTTTTTTTGATTAAAAAATGCAATGTTTTTTGTAACTAGTTATTTCAAAGGCATCAAGAAAAGATTTTTTATGAGAATTTTAAATATATAAGGCTTAAACCTTTTCTTGTGTTGAATATGAATGCAATAATTTCTTGATTTTGATAGAAATTATCAACCGCCATTCGATTTCAGTACTTTTTGTACATTAGGATTGGTTGTTTTTCCTAAAATATGCTGAATTTAAGGGAAAAGATACTTAATTTTTGTTCGTGTTGCTTTAATATAAAATATTTTTTTCTTTTATATCAGAAAATAAGCAACGTCAATTGCAATCAGTCATTATAAATGCATTAAGATCAGTACTTTTGTATAAGATGTGAATAATTGATGGATAAATATGCATAAACTTTTGTTTTTGTTGAATAAGAATGCAATTATTTTTTTATCTTAATGGAAATTATTGACCGCCATTGGATTTTTGTACTCTTTGTAGTTTAGGATTAGTTGTTTTTCATAAAATTAAAAGTATATCAGAGAAAATTTCTAAATTGTTGTTTGCTTTGTTTAAAATTAAAATGCATCCATAACAAGTAATTGAACTTTAAGCAGTTTTATGCCACAATAAAGTCCCAAGCTTTACACAAGGTCTGATCTTATAAATATCAAAAGATTTTACTTATTGAAAGATTTAACTAATACTATTTCACTAACTTAGGACCAATACGATATTGTCAAATGACGTGATTGTATTGTAACTTCAGTTGCATTGTTTTCTGGACAACCACTCATGAACACCGTTCAAGATCAAATGGTATTCAACTGGAAGAAGTCTATTAAATTGTCAAATCATTAGACATACGTTTTAATGGTAATCTAGTCCGTCGTGTCGTGTTGGTCATTTATCTTCAGTTGCATGAACTGAAATAAAACGAGGTTTAACTAACAAACAAACAAAAAAGAAATCTGATCCTTGAACTTCAGATGAACTCCCAGAAATTTCAGTCATATTCAGTAGCAAATATATTATCTTCTATACATTTCAGAAATGTGTCTAGGTCAATTTTCTTAACACGTCTACTGTCGGAATAGTGATTTAAAAGAAATTTATGTAAGAGTTGAAAAGGCTGCAAAATGAAAGGCAACAATAGTTTACCGATGTTCAATCTCTAAAGTCAGTTATTCTTCACTGTAACTCGGTTGGGTTTGCTTTAATTTTCTGTATATAACATATTTAACTTGTCGAAACACTAAGGTTTTTTCTACCCCTGGAGGGTCCGTAGGTGACCTGTTGCAAGGCTAAATTTCTGTCCCTATCCAATATACCCTCATTTCCCGTGGTAGTCTAAATTTCTCCGACCTTAATCTATTACAGAACCTACCTATTGTATTTATTGTGAACTTGTTCTCGTCCTGAATATGCATGAAATATTTGCCACTGGACGTTAAGCAACCAACAATCAATCAATCAATCTACCCCTGGATCAGCTTGCCGTATCTGTAATTGGCACAAATTTTCTGTATTTAAAGCAGTAAAATAACATTAACGGTACTAATTATTCTGCACCAGATGCGCATTTCGACAAAACCCGTCTCTTTGTTGATAATCGAGTCTTAAAATATAGCCGAAAGCCGGCCAAGGAATCCGAGCTCGCATGAGAGAGATATATTCCTCAATTTTCAAATAATTTCCAAAATTTTGTAACAGCAAAGTTTTATAACACACTATCCGTACAGCGTCGTGTTTGATTTGAACTACTAACATTTTGATGAGTCTTCCCTAGACTAAACGCGCGTCTGGCATACACATTTTAAAGGCTGTTGTTTTTGATGAGGTTGTATGTGCTCTAAACCATCGTCTTTGTGCGCTTGTGTGGACAAAATAAAATTTTGATGGAAAAATTGTTAAAATTATTGATGAATATGCATTTATCTTTTTGTAGATATTATCCTTAAATGACGCATACAACTTCACCTGTCCATCGCAGACACAGTGGAATATTCGAGCAAAATCCATGTGTGATCCTCCAAGAAATTATACTTGCTTATTTGACATAACTTTTAGAGTAAATGTATACAGAGAAAGATGCAGAAGACCTAGACTTTTAGCTGCTGGTATGGCTTTTTAAATATTCAAATATTTGTCCTGTTATTAATAGCATGTAATTTTTTTTAGTTTTGAGCTCTATCAGAGTAAAAAATGTAAGTAATATTTCAAAAAATAACTGTATTTTCATGTATATTAATAAAATGTCTGATAAACAATTAAAAAGAAAGTTTCTTCAATAAATAATAGTCGTTTTATCATTAATTGTATTGCAT